GAGTGAAATACGGATCTTAATTGTATTTTTCCTGCTAAGTGAGCATCTTTTATTTGCCGGTTCGTTTTCGTTAAATAAACACGATCAAACAGACATATACTAAATAGAAACCAGGTCTAGTTGGATAGCTTGAGCAAAATTTCAGATTCTGACGTAAAACCTGCGATAAAAACAAGTTGTGTTGAAGTAATGGAGTCGTGTAGGCTTTCACCGTTAGATACACACATCTGGCGAAGAGAGCTTAAAAAGACATCGCGATGAATAAACAAATAATCAACACGCTGAAGAACATGCTTCCTATGTAATGTAATAATCAAACATCTTGAATAAAAATTCAACTAGGTTCACTGATTTCAAGTACAGGCATAAAAGTTTAAGTTAACTCATCAATCCGTTTTCAAGTTTGACTCAAAGGAATATCTAATCTTTATTTAGCTTGGATGTTCCCTCAATGATCTTGTCTCTCTCCAATCAACAACACTAGAACCATCACAGAGCAATTCAACTTTGCCAATTATGCCACATCCTGTCTACTCTGATGTCAGTAGTAATACTCACCAACCTCTTAAGAGGATAGACAATTTTTTTTTGATGCAGATAAGATCTTATAAGGTTGCCAGTAGCTGAAATGGACTTTCATGGGAGTTTGAATGTGAACCTTTCAGTTAAAGTACAGATAATGGCTGAAAATGCATGGACTCTAATTTTGATTGGGGAGTCATAATTTGATTGATCTTAACTGATTGGTTCAAGCTAGATGAAAGGATTATTTCTAACTGAAAGAGTATAGAAGGAACTCTCCTTTAAGACACAAATTCAAATTATTGAAAAGGGCACATCCTGTCTTGAAATCTGAAGTGAAGTTTTGACTTCAAAAAAGAAACCCAAACCTATGGAATCATAAACCAGGGAAAATTTCAATATGGTTGAGATGTGGTTGCTATAGTAACTATGGATAAGGGGATCTATCTGTATCTAGTCACTGATCAATGTAATGCCAAACCTGCTCTTACAGGTTCTTGGAACAGTCAGTAAAGCTTTAGAAATATTTGGTTAGGGGATTAAAGCCAGCTAAACTACTGGTAATTCTGCCAAAATTCTCCCCTATGGTGCAAGCTACTAAATCTGACACATCCAACATTTCATTCAATCCCTTTCATAAAAATATTCTATAATCAAATATGGTAGATACATGAGCTTGTAATAACATTTTCAAAAAATTGTTATCATGTATACATTGAAAGAAATCATACTTTGCTGAAAGGGTTTTTTAAACATGGTATTTATTTTAAAATTCTGGATTTCAGAAAATGACATTTCACATAGGATTGGTGAGGTTTCTACTTGGACATATCAAATTTTTATAACTGTTTCAACAAACACATTGTACATTATGGTTCTTTTTCTTTAAATGTGATTTGTAAATTGATCAATGCATTGCCCTTATTAGGACATAAGACACTTTAGCCTTATTAGGAAATAGAGCAATCTCATACTTTGGACAAATTATAATGAAAACCACATTCAGTTGATGATAATAGAAATATTCTGATGAAATAACAATGAGAAAAGCATGTTAATGGGAAATTGACAAGCAAGACAATCAGAGTTGGGTGATCATATAACATATCTAAATAGGTATATATGTTATCTGATATAATATGACCAGTTGACAGCAATGTGACGTATATGTCCTGGTTTAAATTATAGATGGCAGTTACGTCTCATGATATTTCATCGTCAAAAAAGTTATTAATTCTTCCACTTTAACTTGGCCATTGCTTGTCAGTTCTAGCCATAGGGGTAAAGCACTAGATGATGGTATACGTCAGACCCTGAATCACCATTAACAATAAACTACAGTAAAACCTCTAAAGAGGAACACTTCTATAAGTTGAACACCTAAATTATGTTGTTCAGAGTATTTTGCCAAAATGATTTAATGTTAAATGAGCCTCTATAAGTAAAACACTTCCACAGTATAACACGATAGATGTATCAAAGGTGTTCAACTTAGACAGGTTTTACTGTACCCTCTGAAAACTGCAGATAATTTATCATCAGGATATTAATAATATTATCTTAATAAACTCAAATGTAACTTTAAATGTCTTTATGAGAACTGATTGAAATGAATGTTAGCATTATTTACTGCATCTTCGAAATCCAAGTGGTTATAGCAACTAAAATCTTGAGAATCAAGATGGATTTACTGAGTACATATTCTGATTCAATATAAGCCATTTCAAAGAATCATTTCTAATTTTGTAGAGGGCAAATGAAGTTGAGTTTTTGCAAAGAGTATTTACGTCATATACCTATCAACTGTCAATGTTAAACAGGAGAACTATCCTACTCTTATCCAGGTACTTGTTTTCTATCTATTAAAAATTGCGTAAGGCGCACCATCAGTTGTATTGTTTTGTAAAATATCTCAGAAGATTAATGACTTCAACTCTGCTGCAAGTCACCTAAGCATTTATCAATGATTTGACCATGCAGTTTGCTTCATTTTAAGCGTGGTATATGGTTTATATATACAGTGAAACCTTTAAAGTGGAACACCTCTAGAAGTGGATCACAACACCTCTGTTGGTAGAACACTTTCGAGAGTCATAAGACCGACTGACTTAATATAAAATGAACCTATAAGTGGAACACCTCACAAGTGTAACAATTTTTAGAAGTACCAAAGGTTTTATTGTAGTTTCATGTTTTATTTTGTCAATTATCAACTTTTAAAGTAATTCCAATTTTGGCTATCAGAACAGGATGTTCCTCTGACGTTAGCGTTCCATACAGGTCATATTCTCGCATCTTTGCATTTTGTTGGTGCAAGATATTGATGTTTGGGTCCTGGGACAAAAACAACAAATCAAAATTTTCATTGTGACTTTTACAGAAAACTGAAAAACCTGTATTAAACATAATAATATTTTCATGTTATTTTAAAGTCTACGTAAAGAGAAGCCTTTTAGGTGAGTCCACATACATATTTTATTCTAGCTGATTACACAGCTTCCCCTAACACTGACCTCTATATAGGATGCATTGATAAAACACTGAACAACAAGTGCAAATCACTGCAAAATCATATCCTGTTGTTATCTACTGGTCATACATACTGGACAGTGATTGAGTTATTCTTGATAAACTATTAGATTAAGGACATCGTTTTTGAGGCAACACATGGCCATCTAACAGAACAAATAAAGTTTTTTTAATTTCCCAAGTGAAATTGTCCGAGTCTCATTTTATGGTTCATTATGCATATGAAGAAATGGTCGGCCTCAGCTCATTAATACTTGGTCAGTCAACACAATAGACACAAAAACAATGAGAACAATCCAGTCACTGTATTCAATTTCTTACTCTTCTTTGATTCCCACAGGTTTTTCATTTAGAACAGGCCAGTGGTTTACTTGAAAAGAATAGGTCAGGATACTAATATTAAGATTTTAAGTTAAAATGTGAATAAAGTGCTCTGTAAAATCTCTAAGCTAGATGATCCTATAAAGATAATTGACAGGAGTAGCATATGTAAGATAGACGGGAACAAAACAAATACATTTTATATTTTGTTGTTGACTTCATATATACTTTGTTTACTAAATGGATGAAATATATAGCTATATCAATTAACAGAATAGACTTACATCAGACTCTTATAACCCCATTCCTAAATAGAGCACAGGCCCGTAGCCAGGAGTTGCCAAGAGGGGTTCACTTTTTGAAAAATTCCAGGGGGTTTCACTTGAGACGATGTTGGTCCAAAAATAGCCAAAATCACTTGAAAAGTGAATGGTAAAAAACTGCATGATTTTGAAAGATTCTTTGGCCAGGGGGGATTCGCTCCAACCCATCAACCCCCCTGGCTACGGGCCTGGAGCATATATAGGGGAGTGACACAGGTAGATAGAGACTCGATGCAACACAATTGAATGTGACATTACCTGTCACTGTTAGTAAAACAGTAAAAGCAAGCAAGTCTGGTGAAGCCAGAGCAAATTATAATTTTTGAGAAGTTAATTTCAGTCTTATGACTGAGAATAGATGATCTCGAAATCGGAATTTGGAATGAGACTCAACTCTCCTGCTGGTTGTGCAGAGATTTCAAAATCTCGAACTTACTAAATAGGGGAAAGGCTTGGCATATTTAAGAGGGACTATTTGATAGATTTTTTAGACATAAAAGGGTAATATTTTTCACTGTTATATACAAAGTAAGATGTTTTAACTAAAAGGGCAACCTAGCCTATAATAACAAAACAGAAAAAATAGATACAGATTTTATAACTGATAATTCAAAGAAATATTGGTTCAGGATACGTCTTTGTAAAGCGAAAAGAAAACATTAATGAAAAGATTGTGAAGACACATCCACCTGTGTGTAAAGCATATATTTAACATTGTTATTGTGACTCATAGCTATTGAAACATAAAAAAATAACAAGGATTTAATTTATGTGAACGTTAAACGAGACGATTTCAGTTCCATGCAGCATAACAAACATTTGACATTCCTTTCATAGCGATTTTCTACATTTATTTTTTGCATTCATTCAATATGTCGTGCTATGAAAAATATTAAATCTCCCCTAACCTAAGTTTCCATTGACATAAAACAAATAGCTTTTCAATTGCAATGTGTGAAAGTTTGTGAAATGTTACATGCTTTCAAACTTTCTCAATAACAACTGCATCTATTACAACATTGAGACATTTGATTTCTAATAACTTATTAGTAACATTTCAGAACATTTTTCAAATGTGTCCTTCCTTTCTTTTATATTCCCTACTAAGATTTTCAATTCTCTGACACTTGAATTTTAATGTACAATTATATATTTGAGGGACTGGTATATACATATATAGAATTCTATATACATGCATTCACTTAAATTAATGTAAACAACTACTCTAAAAATTACTGACATTTTCTGGGTTTTCAAATTCACTTGTTTCAAAGCCGAATATCTTATAAAACATTTTTCACTTACTTCCTGCATCGTTATTAGGTAAAGTAGGAGACTTGGTGTTGTTTGTCACATTGTTTTCTTCTGATCCTTCAAGCACATAATACAGATAATAAGTATAAGGAATAATAATTATATATTTCTTATTGATATCACTGAATAACAATAAAATCATGTGATTTATGAGGGATATGATTTTTATTTTGAAGTAAACATCAGAACACAGTACAGTATAAATATAACTGGGGAAGATTTTGAAAACATTTTTCAAATGATTTGAAAATTATATACTAACTTAACAATGTGTGAGTTCTAAAAGTCTTTGGACTGGGCACTACCTTAAGAATTAACATAAGCCCATAAGCCACATTAATGCTACATATTGTACCTATAAGCACCTATAACTTACAAATACAAACAACAAGCCTAACAAACCATCTTCAGTCATCTGGCATCCATCAATATGTTTGATTTATTACCAATCAACCTGGCCATTTAGTTTAACTATCTACCAAGTATGTATATTTACAATGATTTTTAGATCCAATGAAAGCTAGCCTGGCCCTGGAATCTTTGTTTTAACATCAAAACGTGAGCTTTAAATGTGAGTGACGTATATTAGGGCCTGACCTAATGATAAAGACCTATGGGCAAAGGATCCTACTAAATGAAGAGCCATAGCTCAAAAGAATGCAGATAATGAGATTCTTAACAAAAATAGAAAAGACAAATTAATAGAATTATATTTTCATTTCTATCCAAGATCAAATATTTCATATACCTGTTACATTCTTATTATTCATATTATAATCCATACTCAAGTATGAAACCGTTTCAATAAACAAATTTCAATGACTTTTATCTCTTAACTGCTTCTGTCATTATGTTACCATAGCGCCGTGCCCATCCTACAGACCCTGATAACATACTTCATATGAACTCGAGTACACTAATCTATTGTACTTGGGTTTCCTGCATACTATTCTACAGTGCATAGGTTAAAATTATTCTTCATAACTTAAGCCATATAAAACTACTATAAAACTATATATCGTACCATTTCAAAGCCAAAATATAGTAAATGAAACATTACTTCAAGTTTATGACTCCCAATCCTTAACAGAACAAGACAGGGATATAATGTAGCACATTTTCAAAGTGAGATAAAAAGTGTGAAAACAAGCTATTGTTGAATCCTGGAACATAAAAAATGTTTCCTGTTCATTTTACGGTCACAAAATCTTGTTAGAAGTCAAAGTCATACAATTACATAGCTTCCGTTTGAATATTCTAAATTGAATTCAATGGTCTGATGTTTTGAACCTGACACGCATCACTTTTAAGAACCATTGGAAGTTATAAATTATATACCTTTATCTTTCTTGATTTCTTTCATGACCATTGGTTATCTTGCAAAATACGTAATGTAAAAACTGTTATCTTCTCCCCTCAAAGCATATAGCCTTATAGGAAATAGCTGAATTCACTTTGAAGTGAGCCAGGGTTAATTTTTTACCTAATACAAAATAATCAAGATTTTGAAAATTTATTTGACCATGGTTATCGGTTAACTTTTGTTATAAGAAGGGTATTGCGGAACATATAAAATATGTTCAAAGTCATGAAGGTCCTGCATGAAATATTGAACATTTTAAACTCAAACTATTTTCAATCTAAATGAATTCTTTTTATATCACAAATAAGTCACTTCATTATCTCATGAAAAAATTAACTATCAAAATCAAAAAAGAAAGTTTTAATCTAATTATAACAGTTTCCATAGTAACCAATGAGACTTCAAACTGTTACCATGGTAATTGGAGAAAAAGTGGGGTTTGCTAGGAACATTTGTGACTAATGTTGTCAGTTATCTGAAATCATGGAAAGGTGTTAAGGTATTTAATTGCCAAATTAACAGAGAAGTGATAAAAGAGGCTTAATAAGGTGCTAGATAAGTTACATCTGTGTTTTCAAAACAATCCACAAACTATACTTGAAAAAACGTAAACATCATGGGTAGTAACAATACTTGCAATATTGTTTGACGTCACGCTGATGTGAACTTAAACACTGAATAAAAACATAAGAATAACACACGTTATAAACAGAGCTACTAATCCTTTTGGAAGTTACCCAAGAACATGTTTCTGACAATCAACATTTTGAATTATCTCTGGAAATAAATGTGGAACTTGAATGTGGCTTGTTCACCTCTGACACTAATACTATAATTCAGCATGTCAATCTTAAATGGAAGGAACAAAAACATGTTCCAATTCCCAGATGTATTGTACATCCATCAAAGGTGAAGTCAAAGAATTGGGAAGCTTCGGGAAAAGCCATATCATCTCTTTCCTTTGTAGTCTTGAAATGAAGACAGAAAATGTTGTAGGCATCAGACGGATCTTTTCCAGTCTTTCTCCAAAATCGTGTTGGTTGGTCATGAGTTTGACTTGTCAAGATGTAACTAATGGAAAAACCATATTAAGACAAATCATTTTGTTGGTAATTTGATGAGAAAGAAATACAATAGTGAGAGGTCCATTTTCAGAATTCTTCCTGTTGATTTTGAAATTGCCCAGCAAAGGATTAACCAATTTCAGTACAATTACTACAAAATACATTTTCAAAATGTTTACGCCTGACCTTGAATTTTCTGAATGATCTTCTAAAGATAGACAGACAGAAGAAGGAAGTGGAAGATGGGAGATGGGTGGAAGCTGACTGGATTATCAAAGTTGGCTGTATGTTATCAGGATGATGGGAAGTGTGTGATTTGTTTAGGTCTGTTTATTTACAGAGTTGTACCATTATGTAGGAATTACATTCAACAGAGAACATGGCCTTACAAAATTATTTCAACCATCCCCAATTGTTTCTCCTATAAAACAGAACAAAGTAGGTTAATTTCTCAAATATCATAAAATGATCACATCATAGGACTTAGGAGCATCAGTGTTTCTTTTGTTCCTCGTGTATTCTAACTGTTTGCGAGTTATTCCAGACAAAAATCCACAGTCGCCATAAAGCTTATTTACAGGAATGTAAGAAATTGGTGATGACATACAGAAGTATAAGTCAGTAACCACCAAACATTAAGTAGAAATCTGGCCTTTGAAATTTTATTTTTTAACCTTTACTGAATGTAATCTAACATTCTGTAGAATTTTAATGTTGCATTTTCTTCATGTGCTGTTATCTGTCTTATAAAGATGGTATAAAATAGAAGTCTTGTTTCAAAATAGTTGCAAATTATATACAATGTAATTACAACTATTCATAAAAAGCTCATGTTCACCAACTTACGAAATGACAAGTCCCTTATGGAGATTATAAAAAATGATATGGCCTAATGACACGTAACACTGGGTTCTATATTAGATAACAATGACGGGTAGTCGTCAAACACTAGTTCACACCCTATAAACAACAGTTTAGTGGCAGAAAACAACGAAAAGGTTCTAACACCAAGGATCCTGGTTACTATCAAAACTTGCACATCGACTGATTATGGCCTTTTTCAAGATGTGGCACACTCTTGAGTTCACTCTTTATACATAATGCACGTTTATTTCGGAAACAGAACTATGATTAACAGATTCACTGTAAGATTTATTTCAACACCTAAGATGTATGCGGCTACATTCCCATTCTGCATATGCCTATATAGCATGGTTTCTGACATGTCATTTATAAACCCAACATCAATGTCATCTTGAGACCAGGAATGATTGTAAAGCTGCCACTCATACAAGATCATTCTTCTGTATTTTCCTTACCATAAAACATGTATGCGTATAAAAGCTCAAGAAGATTTAATCCGGAAAATTCAAAATTCAACATTTTAATTCAAAATTCAATATTTTGAGAAAGGCATGTTGAGATCAAAAACTGCAAACTGAAGTAGTGAAAATCACTTGTATGTCACATTGAGCTGACACTGTACTGGACACTCAAACTGACAGAGGTATTTTCCCGTAAGACAACCCATTGATTTCTCAAAAGTCTACTCTCGTGAATAGGTTGATTTTGCTTCTTTAAAAAGATCTTCATCTTCAAATAAGATGAAAATTGAAAAATATCAAAATCATTTGCTGTTTTTGCACTATCTATCTCATTACTGAAAGGGTATAAAATGAACGAGGCTTTGACTCCGAGTGTATCTTCAAAGTTTGTCCAAAAATCTCTATATCAACTATAAAGTTTGCATTGTTCACTGGCATGTAGCGATTATAGCGGTCCTGTCTTGGCTTATTGAATTGTTACGAAGTTACGTATGCGGTGCGGAAGTTAGAGAGCAAATGACCATCATTTCAATGTAATAGTTTATGCAGGAAAATTGAGATTAGGCCATTGGAGTATTTGTTTCATGCATTTGTAAAACGTTACCCACTCATAGGTCATACTTATCGTTAAACCAATAACTCAAATATATGCCCTTGTACACCGATCACCTGTTGAAATTAATACAGGCCGATTTCAACAAATGTAAACGGCGATATATTTAAAATCGTATTCAAGCATGACCACGTCCCAACTTCTTTTGTTTTCTTTACAACTAAGCTATGACTGCAGTCTATTCAGTGTTGCGTATCGAACCTTGTTTATTATAAAAATAGTGCAACAACAAGCAGAATTCACACATTTACCTTATACTTATTCTCAACTGAAGACATTGAATTTATCTCTTAGGTTTTACATTATAAATATCTTAACATGCAGAATACGAAAATAGAGGCTTAGGCCCAACTTTGTATGAATTTTATGAGAATAATCTGATTTTAGAGAAATGAAAAGAAAAATGTCCACACACTACACAAAATATTTATGGTTCCCCGGGAATACGTATGTGCTGCTTGTATATTAGAATCGTATTCCAGTTACAGAAAGAAGTACATATCATGCTAAACTATATACAACAGTTATGCACTTGGAGGTTTTGGATACAGGGAATATCCCGAGGGATACATAATATGTCTTCCCTTGGTCCCTCGGGAAGAAATATTGTATATCTCTCGGGATATTCCCTGTATCCAAAACCTCCAATTGCATAACCCCTATATAATGGCCAAGGGATAATCCCAATATCC